CGCATTCTCAGTACAATAGATGAGATCACACATCATGGCGAGCTCGCAGCCTCCACCAAGTGCATGCCCTGAGACTGCAGCGATGATGGGCTTTTTCACCTGAGTGGTAAGGTCTGACCAGGACTCGATGAAGGACTTGGTGTAAGCTTCGGCGAAGGTAAGAGGGGCCATCTCCTTGATATCAGCACCAGCTGCAAACGCCTTTTGGGAGCCAGTTAAAATAATGACTGACGTATCGTCGGCCACATTAAATTCAAGAAGAGCCTGGTTAAGCTCTTTGATGAGAGGCGTGCACAGGGCGTTGAGGGCCTTGGGACGGTTCAAGGTAACTAGGTAATTATCGTTAGATACTGTTCGATGTACAAACCGAGAGATGGCATTGTTTGACTATCATTCATACCTTGTCCAACACCGGGCTTGGGTTGAGAAACCTGGATATACTCATAAGTCCCCGAGCTGTAAGCTCGAGCAACGCGAGGAAGAGTAGGCCTTTGGAAGGCCACTCGACCTGCCACTGGTCTCATGCAGCGGAAAGTGTTCATTGTGATACTAGAGAATGGATATGATGAGAAAGACAGTGAACGATCAATATTGTAATGTAAAACCGTTATCTGTTGGTTCCACAACTGAAAGGGTTGGTACGATTAATATTGTAAGTTAAGAATTTGATCACTCAGGAGCTATATGTAAGTACAGAGTATTGGAGCTGCATTGATAACCGGAGAGCTTTAGCTTCCCCAGTGACGCAACAGAGCCGAGGATAACATGGGCCGCCCATACCCATGGCAAAGCCGACGTCCAGATTTATGATTGAGCGTCACGTGAGAGATCGATCTAAGCACCTTAACAACTCCTCGTGATTAAGATGGGAGCTCCTCCAACTCGTCTCGTTGACAATCTCTTACACAAATCGTCTATTGATGTTGCAGCGGAGGTAGTGGCCAAGCTACACGGTAAAGGAACAACCGGAATCGTATTGCCTTCAGTATATGCCTAGAATAAAGCATAAATCGCAGCTTTAAGATAGAATGTCGTCATCTGGGCAGCGACGAGCTTATAAATTGAACTGTGCCTCTGTTCAGGGTACCTAGGTAGTAAGGTCAGTAATATAATACGCCAAGTTGGACCTCTACTCCGTATTATTCTGTACGCTGAATACATACTCCGTACGGAGTACAACATGAGCTTTCTTACAGGGGTAGGCAACTCGACGCGACGCGGTAATAGATAATTAAAGACTGCGCCACATTCACATGTGGGGTCAAGGGGCCTAGGAGGGCCTTCTCAGATCGCTCAGCAGCAATTCGGCTGAATCACCAATAAAATCATAGGCTAACTGTCAGTTTCAGGGAGGCCACCAAACAAACTGCCTGTCAACGGTTCATCAACTCCTCCTTTGTCCGGTAAAGGACCGGGGAATTGATTAGCCTTGCCTGTACCAAGAGCTTAACAAACCTTACGTGGCTGCATCGTCAAAGGTCCAAAAGTTGGAAGTCCTGACCCCCCAATCGCAAATTCGCCATCACTTCTTTTTTTTTTCTTTCTTCCCGTCAACTTCAACTTTTCTCACGGCGTCGTAGTCATTGTTCCGCACAATTGCACTCGATTATTCTATCCAAATAATCTGCGCCTCCTGCCCATTAACTGTCCCGATTCACAACGGTCGACCGATCCTCTTCACAAGATGAATGCGCCAGAGCCTGAGCAGACCCCTTTCGAGGCTGTCAGCGTCCATACCTCGAGGCTTCAGCGGGTATGTCTCTCGAAATAGACTGTAATGCATTGCGACTCTTCTGACACCGGATTAGAAATACCAAGCTTTGCTGGACCAGTCGACCCCTTTCGTCCTCTACCGATGGGTCGGTACTGTTGTCTGCCTCCTCCTCTTCTTTCTTCGAATCCTTCTTGCGCAGGGCTGGTATATTGGTAGGCTCGAACCCGCAAATCATACCCCTGAATCATCTTACTTACAACTGCGCAGTTGCCTATGCGCTCGGTATCTATCTTTTAAACCTGTTCCTGGCTTTCCTGCAGCCCAAGTTCGACCCCTCAAACGAAGAGGCCGATAATGAGATGGAGGACGGCTCTGTGGGCACTCTTCCCACCAAGCAGGACGAGGAGTTCAAGCCCTTCATTCGTCGACTTCCTGAGTTCAAGTTCTGGTACTGGGCCACCCGAGCTATCATCATCAGCTTCTTCTGCAGCTGGTTCGAGATCTTTAACGTGCCAGTTTTCTGGCCCGTTCTGGTCATGTACTGGTTCATCCTCTTCTTTCTGACTAGTAAGTTCCATATGAAATGCAGAAAACTGCGTATATTAATTGTTTCTAGTGCGCAAGCAAATCCAGCATATGATCAAGTACCGCTACGTACCCTTCACTGTCGGTAAGAAGAACTACGCCAAGAACAACTCGTAAATAGATGCGACTTTCGGGATACTTTTCTTCAGCACAGCGGGCATCTCCGCTGAACGAGTGCCCGCGTGCGTTGTATAAACATGACGGCCAGCTTTATCAAGCTGCACAATAATGCGATGCGTGTTCCGAGGCGTGTATTTCAACTACGAGGGGAAATTGACTGGTGACAACACACATGGGGGATTGGCAATAAAGAAAGGAACTTGGGTCGTGTGACACAAACGAACCTTAGTTATTATAGACTTGGACGGATTTGGGGGCCATGACAAACAGAGCAGATGAACTATTTAATGAAAATGACCATCATATGAACCAAAAAGTAGCGCCGCCCTCTTCAGCATAACACTATACGCAGGTTGATCGTGACATTATTGCTAAACAATTCAGGGCGGAAACATGTTAAGGATGTTTGTATCACCCGAAACCCCCTTTTTCTGCGTTATTATTCTATTTCTTTGTTCAATTGCTGTTTAGGCATTTGGAGCAAGTTTCATGAGGAAGCCTTAATTAGTGGGTGGCTACGCCGAACGTGGAGCTTGGACAAGGCCAGCCTCGCGCCGCAATTCTCGGATATCTTTGACCTCGAAACTCAGCCGCGCCCGCGCCCAAGCTTCTCCATCAAGCCATACACACAAAAGAATCGCGCGCCAACATCCTTCAAATACATCAAGACATCGCACCCTCACCAACGTCTTCCTCGGCGCCCCCTGCCAATTTGACCAGCATGTCATCTTCAGCTCCTCGCACAGGCGAGCGCTTGGTTCACCAGGACTTCATCGCACGCATCCGATTCTCCAATGCGCTCCCTCCACCACCCCATCCTCCTAAGCTGCTCGACATACCTAATACCGGTCTTGCTAGCGGTCAATATACGACACCAGGCTTTGCTTCGCGCCTTGCGAGGGAGCAGCCGCTCAATATTGAGGCAGATGCTGAGCTGGGAATGCCCCTTGACTTGGTCGGCATGCCTGGTGTTTTCGATGGCGATGAACGATGTAGGTTGGCTGTTTATCGTGTTTTGACTTCACAAAGCTGACGCCTCCCCAGCTATTCAGGCTCCTCCTCACCCACCTGCTCTTCATCCTCATGATCGACCCCTTCTAAGACCCATCGCCTCTCTGGGAAAACACAAGGTCGCAGAAGCCAATGTTTCCTTCCTTCGCCGGACAGAATACATATCTTCTACGGTCACTAAGCGACAAGATGGCGCTGCACCCCGTGCTCTACTCACTAAAGCCAACAAGAATCGACGCATCCCGGAGCCTGCAGCTGATGCACCTCACGTCATTAAGCGAAAGATTGACAAGGGCTTCGACATTGCTGAGCACGAATTCAAAGACCCCAAACGCGCCAAACATCCAAGCAAGAGAAATCTCAAGGTTGTCGATGTGTCGCCTTTCATCCCAGATCTCGAGGCTTTCCCCGACTCGGGCGCGTACGTTACCATCAAATTCCACCAGAACCCTGTGGTCAGCACCAAGGATTATGACAGACGTCTTCTCAGTGGTTTGTTCCGGCCCATTGATCGGACAGCCGAGGAAGAGGAAGCGTATGAGGCAGCTGTGGCAGCTCATGAGCAAGATCCTGAAAACAACCCCAAGCCTCAGAACTGGATGAATTTTGACTATTACTTGGCGGCAACTCCTAACGTGGGGGATCGATTCCGTCGCAAGTTCGATGTTGAGGATGCCGACCACAACGAGGACGAACTCTACACTCATGACTCTGTCAATGGTGGATGCTTCCAATACAACCGGCTCAGAGCGTACGAGACAGCTCAGGAGACCAATTACGACCATGAGACCAAGTTCGACGCAGAGGTTCTCCTAGCTTACAACGAAGACACTTTCTACCCCAACCAGAAGGCCGTATACTACTATCCTGTTATGCAAAAATCTGTGATTCGACCCCAGCGAACAAAGAACATTGCGCGAAACATTGGTATTACCGATGAGGAGCAAGTTGTTGACCAACTCGACGTCACCGTCGAGGATCCAAGAGAGGATATCCGCGACATGATCAAGACGCATCGCGATCACCCCCTCGGCACAGGACAGGCTGATGAGGAAGAAGGAAATGAGGAGGAGCACCACGAGGGCCAGGATGCTGAAGGCGAGGAAGAAGGAGAACACCACAGTCCAGCAGCCCGTCGTTCGAGGTCGGCCTCTGAAGAACATGATGCAGAAGGGGAAGACGAGGAGTAAACGGTAGTTTATCGTGATGCATATAGCTAAGACGAAAGCGGTGTGCTCCAGAGGAAGCGAGAACAAAAGCATATGTCCTTTATGCGACATTTGCCTCGAGATAATCGAGAGTTGCGAGGACGGAAATGGCATGTATTTGGCGAACAGGGGCATCGTGGCGTATAGTTTGCAATCTTTAATCATAGATCTGAGGCGTAATAAAATTATCCCATATTCAACATAATATACACACACATGATTCTCTCACTCCTTTGAAACACCAGTACCCGTGTTGGTAATATGAACCTTGATGCCGTTTCCAGTGGTATACGTGCCTTTTGCTATGCTCTGACCCCCTATGCGTATATGACATTCACTAAGTGTAATCATTCATTCATTCATCAACTCTCAACCTTTGGTAGCCTCATATTGGCGCTACGGCGATCATAACCAATTACTTCTCTCTTATCGTCTATCACTCGAGCATATCTGTGTCATGTTAGCAATCAGAATGAAAATGATCAAAGTATATGAGACCATAGCACTTACTCAAGCATGAGGCGGAAGAACCATGCTTCCATGTCAACCTGGCGAAGAGCCTGGTTGGCCCACTCTCGACTAGCAGCCGCAATGCGCTCGCCTTCTTCACGGCCAGCTTCCTCGTTCTCGAGAAATCGAACTGTCTCAAGCCAGTCTTCTCCCTGGATACTCAGAGGCACGTAATGTGCCCACGGCTTGAGCCACTCAGCGTGCCACTCACGGAACACTGCGAGTTTAAATGTGAGGCTGCGACTGCGAAGGAAGGCAGTGAAGCGACCGGAAAAGGCGTTTCCATCCATATCAAGTAGATATTTATATGACCAAGCATCTTGCTGATCTACAGCCTCGGTGACATTGAAAAAAGCTCGTTGCGCCTCGCAGTCACCTTGGTCACATTGTCCAATGTGAGAGAAATGCACATCAATCATCTCGCTGTAGTCGCCGCGCGGGACCTCGCTGGTCGCCCAGGAACGGCCGTTTTGCTTCGTGAGAATATGGGCCTGGTCGCGCGCGTTAAGCTTTTGTACAAGACGTTGACGGTGCTGATGTCTCCAACGGCCATTCCGGCTGTAGCCCCCAGTGGTCGAGCCGCGCCAATATAGCTTGCTCTCCTTCTTAGGCCACTCCACGTCCATGTCCTCCTCGTATTTTACCATGCCGGCCCAGTCCCAGGGAGACGGGTATACAAGGTCGCTGTAAGAAGAAATCTTGGACTGGGAGAATATGGGAAACAAATCCTGGACAATTCTATATGTATTGGGTCCACCGAAGAAGCCAAAGTTAGATTTGAGGCTGGGCGATAGGCATATGTCTGACATGGCGGTCGTGTTGTAAACAAATCCAAGATCACTCATGCCGTACCTGTTTCTATAGTCCACAGCCTCTTCCTCCTCGAGACAGCGAGCTGGAGTATCTGGCGGACAGGACAGGCGAGAATGAGACCAGGTTGACTGATGGGCAAAAGAGTTGAAGCGTGTGAGACTTATCTCGTCGAACGACTTCCCATCATATAGCTCCGAGTTCGTTTGAGTGAAGTCGTTGGCGAGTTGTGATTTCGCAAACGCTGCGGGCATATTCTGCTCTTTGGCTATTCTCATTAACCTCGTCAGGTCCTCATGCGAAAGGACAACGCGGGACTCGTCGTGAAAGTTGAAGGCCAGGTCCATATCTGGAAGGTACTTGAGAAATTTGCCCATCATCCTCTTCGTGGCATTTTGCTGCCATTCAACGCCATTTTGTACATAAGTGATCCTGTGGTCTCGAATGGATACTCCAATCAGCCCGTTATCAAAACCCAATGCCTCCCTGGCTCGAGTCCGGATAGTCTTGGGTTTTAGTCCCCAGAATGGAGTGATCAGGTCATGAATCGTGTCAAACTCGTCTATCAATTTGACGTCGTTGTCTTTTGCAAATCGAAACCACTCGTCAAAAAGAGGTGGCGGTGGAATGCCATATCGACGACGGTACTCCTGAACAGCCTCTTCAAGCGTCTTGGACTGTCGAGCCCTGATTTTTTCAAACTCCTCCTGAGCATTCCTTGTAAGATATCCTATAGGATGCACTTCTGGAGTGGAAACCTTTCTTGGTTCGGCGCTTCCTTGAACAAGTTCATCCTGTGGCGCTGACCCTGGGGTTGTTGATGGTTCTAGGGGTGTTTGAGTGGGAGTTTGGATTTGAATTTCTCTTGTGTGTTTTGGTGATATTCTCAAGAGACTATACGCGCAGAAACAAAATAATGTTAGAGCTGTGATGGATAAGAGTTGACGCCGCTGAGAGGCGCGAAACGATACGAGGGGGATCATGTTTATAGCTGGCTTCTGGGTCAAACAGAAACCGAAATCGTCATGGTAGGAAGTATGTTTAAAATTTCCATCGGCTTGCTGATACAAAAGTATCTGCCAAAAGAATTCAATTGCAAAGCCTGGTAGCCATGAACTCCCCACCGGTCATGGTGTCTGTCTCAGCGCGAAGCGGCAGATTGACCATGAGACAAAGGAGTGGATTAGAGTTGGCTACACATTTTGATTGGTTAGCCGTCCAAAAATAAAACAATAGCTCGACAGGGACGTTGTTGGCACAACGACTTGACTGTTGGATTACCATGCCAAGAAAAGAATTGGACAATAATTTTCCAGTGATAACCAGTATGGAATTATCGAGCAGCATTACAAAGGCATGCCTGTTGGAGGTGATGGAATTCATACGAGGCTCGATTGCTGGAATTATAGCCAGAGCAATCTGATGGGTAATTGTACCGTCCGAAATGGGTATAACGTCAGGATTGAGCATGAACATTTGTCTTTAATTTCACATCACATGTAGGGAGTCTCGAGTCTGAGCATCTCGTATAGGTTCAATTCTTGTGCTCGCGTGTGCGATAAGCGGCATTGCTATAAATCGCATCGGTCATAGTCATCATCATTCTGCCTCAACGCCGAGAATGCCCTGTTTTGTTTGTAAAAATCACTTTTTGATTGGCATCCCGTCCCATTTAGTAGAAGAAGCCAATGATCTTGCCAGAAACGTGCTTGCGTCGGGCCTCCTCGTGGTCCATGATGCCAGCAGAGGTGGTGAGGATGACATAGCCGAACTGACGGGCAGGGAGCAGCTTGACAACCCACTTCTCGAGCTCAGAGAGGCGCACGTTGTAGCGGGGAGAGATGACACCAGTCTTGTTGAGGCGGCCGTTGAGCTGGACAACGATCTTGCCGGATCGGTGGTCGTCGACCTCCTCGAACTCTCCAATGTATCCTAATGATCGAATCAGTAATGTTTCGAGAGACTAAACGTTAGACATCATGGGTATAAAGAATCCGAAAAACGTGTAAGATCTCCGAGTTTGAATCTATCGGCAACTTATAGGGGCTGGGTCGTGGTGCAGTATCGACCGTCGCCCTAGTTATCATGCCGAATAAGGAGATCGAGAGTTGTCGACGACTCATGGTAGTTGGATCATGGTAAGAAGAACCACCACCAAGCATTGCCATGTTGAACAATGGAGGCCAAATGGCGAAGAATACAGCAGAAGAAAAAATGAATCAATGAAAAGTTCCGAGACATACCGTGGCGCTGCATGACCTGGAGGAACTTGATGATGACCTTGGAAGAAGGTCGGATCAGGACCTGACGCTTGCCAGCCTTCTCGGCGTTGTTGATGGCGTTGAGCGCATCGTGGAGAACGGAAGTGCGGACCATTGTGGCGGAGTTTTGAGGAGATTCTCAAGTCGGGACGGGAAATGAGGTATCTGCCATGAAATACAGTTGTTAGCCTTTCCAAGGCTCATGAGCGAGGAGAGTGCCCCCAACGATCGATCGCGAGGGTTCTGCCGCCCAGTGCTGAAGAGGAGAAGCGTATCGTGGAACCGTCGCCAGTCGTGAATCGTACCCGGCCATTGTTGAAAGATCGGCTCACGTAAAACGACGCTCTCGATTGCTCTCCCTTGCCACGGTGAATAGCATCATCCTTCTGGATTCGGATCGCTGCGAGCGAGTTTCGTAGTATACATACCTCGAAGATTTACTTGGTCGATTGATGAAAACTACAAAGTCAAGGAACGCGGATAGGAAAGGAAGTAAAAAAAAACAAAAAGGAAGGTGTAGTGTGTGGATAGTGGGTCCGTGCACTTGCCCTAAGGGTCGGTCTGCGCACTCGGTCGTTTAGATTTCGGCAAATCAACGTGGAACTAAACGAAGACATTTCCCAGATCACGACTCTACCCCCCCTTCCAACTTTTCCTTGATACACATAGAAATCTTCGAGGATCGCCCGACAAGAAAAGATTATCCAAGATGGTGAGTTTTTGAAGTCTTGCCGCCTCTAGTCGTCAATTGCGCTGTCGAGGCTCGCAACTGCAACCTCGAACGGATGTCAATTCGCGATGGTGGGGGAAGCACCAAAAATCGAAAAAATGTTGGCTAACATTTTCTCGTGACAGTCGGACGTAGAAGACAACACCCCCGAGGTCGCCGATGTTGTTGAGGTTTCCGGCGATGCCCCCAAGGGCCAGATGTCCATTCTCGACGCTCTCAAGGGTGTCCTGAAGCTCTCTCTTATGCATGACGGTCTCGCTCGTGGTCTCCGTGAGGCTTCCAAGGCCCTCGATCGCCGACAGGCACACATGTGTGTCTTGAACGAGAACTGCGAGGAGGAGGCCTACAAGAAGCTTGTTGTCGCTCTCTGCAACGAGCACAACATCCCCTTGATCCAGATCCCCGATGGAAAGCAGCTCGGCGAGTGGGCCGGTCTCTGTACGTTTCGCCCGATGGAATCTACTTTGGTCTGGATTGATGTACTAACTAATACCTATAGGCGTTCTTGACCGTGAGGGTAACGCCCGCAAGGTCGTCAACTGCTCTTGCGTCGTCGTCAAGGACTGGGGTGAGGAGTCTCAGGAGCGATCTATCCTCCTCAACTACTTCCAGACTGAGCAGTAAGGGCCTTTAAACGGTGTAGGATGTGAAGGGAGAGGATTAGAGGTGCGGACTTGACTTAGTTTCGAGACTGCTCGACATGACTTTTTTGCTTGTACTCTAGCCACTTCGGTTGGCATCTAAAACGGTTTAGGCCTCATATCTCATGGCCATATTGCATTTGAGAGGAATAAAAAAAAATTGGGCATCAAATTAGATCCTCAACCTGTCTCTTGTGCTTCTGTCGTAACAGTCATGCCGGATTGCGTGACTATCTCAAGCTCTGCCATCTACTTTCGTCCCTCAACCTCCCATAACGTTAATCTCGGATCGATACTTGTGCAAGAAGTTGTGAACTTACCATGATGATATGATATCCAAACTCCGTCTTGCACTCTACAAATTTCGGACTGGCGGTTGTGCTGGACTCAAGAGCAAAAGCCACCTCCTCAAACTTGGGGTCCAAGCTACCCTTGGTCTTCCATCCCAGTGAACCACCTTGCCTTGCCTTGTCTTCTGAGTACTCTCGTGCGACCTCATCGAACTTGAGGCCGTCGTTCAACTTTGCCAAAGCCTCCTCCTTCTTAGCGTGTTTCTCGCACTATGCAACCCTCGGTCAGGACTTCAATTGGTGAACACTTGTGTGAAACTCACCAGAATGTGACGGACGTTGATACTCTGAGCACCTTTGGATTTGCCGCCAGAGTCTTTTGCATCTTTACCCTTGTCTGCCTTGCCCTTGCCTCCCTTGTCGGCACCCTTCTTGTCGTTTTTCCCCATGTTGTTTGTGAGGGTGTCATGTAAGAGGACAAGGGACCACGGCTGTAGTGGCGGTGGGTTTCGTGGAACTTGGATGACATGCCCCGCTGGAGGTGCACCCTTGAAAGCTTTCCTTGCGTTGTCTTGTGTCGACGCGGTACATACCCCTCCCTCAGTCGAGGCACTCAACCGCCAACCAAGTCATATCAACACTTCCAAACTCGGTGGGCGATGATGGAACTGACAATGTCAGAGGTCTCTAATTAAGCGTTACCATTAATGCTATGAACTAGACTTGTAAGCCAATCGATGCAGCGTAGCCCTACGTCCCATCATTCATGCTTCACCTCAAATCAATAAAGTCCTGCTTTGTTGAACTGATAACCCAACGAGTTTCGGAAGTCATGCGACCTCTGATACTCCTCCCGGTCGACTTTCTCTTGTGCCATTTCTAACTTCTAGTCAAGAAGGGCCTTGTTTCCCTTGTGCTTTTTGATCGCCTCGCCCTCATATTTCTCATAGAGCTCCCAGTCATCCATCTCGGATGGGCGGGGTATGTGCAGAATATCCTCTATTGGTTTCTGATCCTCAACTCTTTCCAAAGTGAGCATCATATGGTGCCGGTCGCTGACTTCATTAAACCATTGACTATATCGGCGTATCGTATACCTAGCGCCTTATTAGCAAGTAGGAGCCGTAGGAAAGGCCATGAGAACCCACAAACCATCATAACGAATGCCGACCTTTGGTGCATATGGGCTTCTGAGGTGGTGGCCTCGCAGGATTCGAAATGTGGCTCCCACTTGAGATATGAGCGACACATGTATGTCGGTAATTCTTCCCTGTCTGACATACTTCAGAGTTCCCTCCCCTTCATCGATTTTCTCTTGCCCTGTGAGCAACGGTAATGCGGCAACTCCATATTTGCCCTTGGTAGGTTTCTCGCGAGCACTACCAACAATACCATCCCGATGCGCGCAAGCCAAGTTGAGCCACCAACTGCATCTTAAGCGTGAGTAACCTTCAAAAAGTTTCGATTGCTATGGGGTTCGGGTCTTCTTACTGCCCAGGTTCGATTTCCAGATTACCCTCCAGCTCTGACAAGGTCTTGCCTTCTTTAGCTTGCCAACGTTCTTCTGAATTGTCTGCATTGGGGTTCAGAGCCACATCCCTAAGCCGTCCCGTCTTGGGGAGATCTCGATAGCGGTTTTGCTCCATATTGAAGTAGGGACCTCGAAACCTTTCAACCCATTTCCGTTCCAAGGCCTCTGCTCTTTCGACATCTTTTGAAAATCTAATAGGTACTCTTGGGTGGCGATATTTGGGATCGATGAGATCCGATATAAGCTTGTCAAGGTGTGTGTCGCGTATAGTCTCGAATTCTATTGCGCGGTTGTAGTGCTCCTCGTCTCTTAGCAGTGCCGCGAGAAAACCCATGGCTTCTTCCCACCTGTCCTCGGGACGTCCCTCATGCAGGCTACTGCGAATGGTGTCGCACAAGTCAAGAAGCACAGCTGTATCGTAGCCAGCTCTAGATGGAAGACGCTGAGGTTCAGGTTGTTTCCCTTTTGAGAATTCAGAAGGCTCATGGCTGGGCTCTTCGTCTACGTGCAGTGAGTAGATCCGCATCGCAGAGCAGTGTCCGGGTTAGCTCACCTTGGTGGGGAGGCATGAAGTCACCCGGGTCTTCACCTTGACTCCAGCGTTCACGACGCTCACGACCGTGGCGACGGAGGACAGCAGACAAGGGTGCCTGTAAGCAAAGAAATTAGCGTTGTGGGTGGATAAGGAATTGTTCAGTAATATGGCCGAGAATTGCCATCCAAAATAATGCGAATTGGGCACAATATTGAAGCATTCAGTAGGATGTAGTGAACGAATTGTTTGTGACGGCCCATACAAAAATGGATATCCGTTCGTCCTTACCTTGTAAATGTCCCGTGTTGAGCCGCTTCTTATCACAGGCATCTTGATCGTGGATCGTTCCTGGGTCACTCTTCAGTTGCACTTGCGTTATGATGACAGACAGAACAGATGATCTCTCGAAGCTGCGTACGACAGAGTCTTTCCCGACCTTTGTCTTTACAGCTCATGATTGACATGTCAATTGCGGGCCCAATGCAGTCAACCGTAGAAGCGAGAAGTGATTGGAAGAGAACTCGAGCAAAGAGGAGAAATGGGAATAGGGAATTCGGATTAACAAAAATAACCAAAAACCAGCAAAGAGTGTGTTGGTGCTGCTCCTCACTCTTCCCCTCGACAATAACTAAGGGAGATTTTTAAAAGTGGCCGAAATTTGGAGGAGGGGAGGTTGGATCACGCCTTGTCGTGTGCAAACGATCCTTGCAGCTAGCAATAGACCAATAAGTGACTATCATCACCGATCAGCCGAGGAGGTCTCACAGTAAAGTAGGTGGTATAAGTCATAGCAACTAGGTAGGTAAGTAGTTAGGTGTAGAGAGAGAAGGTTAGCTGAACTTGTCATGCGGGCTACTCACCAAGCGTCTACCTAGGTATTTAGTGACTCGTACAAGAGAGGGGCTTCTGAGATGCTGAGGAGACATGGTTTGTTAGTGATCTACTACCTAGGCTAGGGTAGCTATGATTGTCCGCTCTCCCATGACGGCAATCAGGATGCAGCACAAGTAAAAGTTCCTGTCGAATGCCGGGGTGCATCATGCCACATGAACTGCCTGTGCTGAAAAAGTCCGCTTATAACTCGTCAACCTCCAGCATGAATCAACTTCATGTACAGTCGCTTACTATAGGTAGACTGGTTCATACCTTATTATGCGCATGTAAGAGATATGAACTGCAACACTATCCAAGTAGGTAGGCATTTGCGTTGTAATTCCCCGTATGCTGCTAAAGAAACCCGTAGCTACTAACCTTACCTTCAGGCCACCTCACTGTCGTGCACATCCTCCAGTATCGCTGCAATGAAATGTAGAGTACGCGACAAGGTACTAAGTCATGGTAGGCCAAAGTTGTGTGCCTCTTAAAATCCAGGTGTGAACAGAATCTTA